TCAGAAGGCTGAGGCAGGAGGATGCCTTAATCTCAGGCGATCAAGGTCATCCTTAGCAATACAACAAGAATATGTTTTTTAAAATAAAAATATTGTTCTCCTTTGATTACATACATTTTAAAATTTTAAAAACCGTTGGGGTTGACAAGACAGCTGAGCAGGTAAAGGTGTTTGTCACTACGCCTGATAATCTAAGTTCCACACCCTGCTCCAAGTTTTTTTAAAAATAAAATTATAATTTAAAAAAGCCAAGTTGTTAGAATATACATACTTAGTTGTTTGCTCCTAATTACCTAATCAAGGTAGGTTTTTAATTTTTATTTATTTAATCTAATTTATTCATTTATTCTCTGTGTAGCCCTGGCTACTGAAACTCACTCTGTAGACCAGGCTGGCCTCGAACTCACAGAGATCCACCTGCCTCTGCCTCCCAAGTGCTGGGATTAAAGGCGTATGCCACCACCGCCGGGCCTCATGTTTTGTTTTTTAAAGAAGGCACAGACGCCATAAAGACACCTTCCTAATGCCAAAGCCATAGAATAAAGGGGCAGAGGAAAGACTTGGATGTGGTCAGCGTGATTCTGGGGTAAGTAATACTCATTCCTCAGAATGGGCCAGCCTGTGCTCTTCTTCACTGTCCTGGCCTGTCTGCCAAACCACAAGCGTGAACTTGGGGCCCATCTGAAAAGACAGAGCAGATATGACTAAGCAACAAACAGGACCCAGGTGGGCAGTGGCAGCTCATACAGTACATCTGAGGCAGGGGACTGAGTTCAAGGTCTGCCTGGGCTGTGCAGCGAGGTCCTGCCTCAGTAAAATAAATACGTAAAATGTAATTCAACTTAGAGCTAAATTAAATTAAACCAGGACCACAAATCATCACACTGTCCTCTGGCAAGTTGCACCACATCCCTGGGTCCCAGGTTTCTCATCTGTGAATGAGAGTAGTAGACAATAACAGTGCAGATTTGTTAGACCAGATAAAAGTCACAAGGTATACAGCAGGTGCTCCGTGAGTGTTTGCTCACCCCTCTTGTCCTTCCTTGTTTCCATAGCAGATACCTAAAACACATGGACATGTATGTACAGACGCATGAAGGGCATGTAAGTGCACACGCACAAACACGCTGGCCCTCAGTCTCCACCTAGTCCTCGACCTCAAGCACGTCATTTCGATGTACACACTTACATAAAAGTACAGAGCAGCCGGCAGTGGTGGCACACACCTTTGATCCCAGCACCTGGGAGGCAGAGGCAGGTGGATCTCTGTGGGTTCGAGGTCACAGAGTGAGTTCCAGGACAGCCAAGGCTACACACAGAGAAACCCTTTCTCAAAAAAAAAAAAAAAATCGAAAAAACCCACAGAAGTATGGGCACAACAAGTGCCCATCACTGCTGCCCTCCAGGCCTGCTGCCTCATGGAAAAAAAAAAAAAAAAAAATCGAAAAAACCCACAGAAGTATGGGCACAACAAGTGCCCATCACTGCTGCCCTCCAGGCCTGCTGCCTCATGGAGGACTCTGGTCAGGAAGCAGACAGTTCCACATCCCCTGGGATGCATGCTAACACACAGAGGAACAGCCAACCACTGGTCAGGGTCAGCAAAGATTTCTTACTCTGTGGCCCAGGCTGGCCCGGAACTTGTAGATGATCCTCTTGCTTCAGCCTCTCAAGTTCTGGGATTACAGGCAGGAGCCACTGTGCCCTGTCTTCCTCCTCCTCCGTCCAGTTTCAGAGTAAATATCCAATGCATGCCGTTCCTTCCGGGGGGCGGCTGGAACGGCTCCGGAGGTAAAGGCACTTTCTGCCGAGCCTGACAACCTGCGG